ATTCATAGATAACAATATTTTAATAGATGCAACAAATGAATCAGAATCATGTAGTAGGGGAAATATAATACTGAAGCAAAAGCCTGTAATACGACAGTAGTATTTTATTATAAACATGAAGAAAGTAAAAAGCTATAATTTATATAGAATTCATCTGAAAATAATTCTGGTATGATATCGAAAACATTGAATAAGCTTAATTTGATATATAATCGTTGATAATATCTCTAGTGGTTCTCACTATTGTATATGAAGAATTTGAGATAGGCTCTCTACTACCTAAAAATTCTAGAAGTTCGAAGATTTAGTTTGAATTAACTACCAAAGGTTTTTCTATTGTACAATTCAAGAGTCACTGCAGCAAAGAATGCACAGTACGATCTTCCATTTTTAATATAAACACTAACTAACTCACTCCATTCTCTGAGATAGACTGTGTCTTTGAGGAGTAGTTTATTGTCCTGAACCACAATTTCAAAGGTGTCTTCAGCACTAAAAGCATAGACTGATTTTAGAACGATGGTATTTTTGTTATATTTTATGCTGTATCCCAGAATGGATTTCAAATAGTACAGCAGGAAGTTGTCGACTTCCAAGTCGTGGACAGGCTGTTGCATGGAAACAGTGTTTGGTGCAGGCTGTTTTTGAACTGGAATTGTGCTGAGAGGTGTTCTAATTTTTCTTGTACGTTGTTATTAATTTAAATATAACAGTTTAATTATTTTATCTATATTAAAGACACAATATAATAGTAGTCTTCAACCATCAACACTGAACTTTAAAAATTCAAACTTTAAATAAATCAAAAGTAATTAAGATAGCTATTATTGGTAGTAAATTTTAAGTGCTTATTTGTGACTGTTTCCCATGTAAAAGTACAGTTATATCATATAATTATAAGAACATATCTAAATTACTGTCTCTGTAGCCAACTTCTTTGAGTTTTAAAAGTAGATTCTAATAATAAAGGGTTAGCATATTCAATAAATGAGACTTAAATTATAAAAGGGATTTCAATATTATGTGAAGAAGCAACAACAGTTGCATTAAGTAAATAAAAATATCTAACTAACTCAGGTTTTACAGTTATCATTCATACTAAATAATGAATGTAGCAATACTTATATTTGAACATTTCTACTTTCCTAGCTAAAACTAAGAAAATCATCAAACACAGACATATCATTATTAAAATAAAACATCACTTTAAAAATCTTGCTTATTTTGACGTGCAAAACCATGCAATTATATTTGCTAATAGTCTAAAAATCCATTTACTTTCTATAAAAGAATTGAACGTCGTATTAAAACAACTTAATTATGAAATATCAATATTTCATAAATGAACACCAGTAAGCAAT